AGATATCTGAAAAAGAGTATACATGCACTGAGAAATCTGATTACTGAGCTAAAACCCAGCTCTCTTTATCGGATTTCTCAATCAGATTTCTAGACTTTCCTCTGGTCTAAGAAATTGGAGTATGCTGTTTACATGACCATTTGAATAATCACATAACTGCAGAAATACGATTATGATTGGATTATTGGGAGCATATAAAAGTACCCATTGTAGGCAAAAGTATATCGCCACAGCAGGCATGAAACATGTTTATGGTCCATTATGTCTCACCTGTAATGACTCAATGCACTGGAGTAACATTTTGAAGTGAAGTCTCAGTTGCAGTTAGCAAACCAGAGCTGTATTCCGTGAGGTCAGGGCTGCAGGTTTAAACCCTACATTACGACAGATATACACATGGATGTAACATTTACTGTTCGTCTGAGCTTTTTTGTGCATATGTATGTGAGTTTATGTATTAGTTCACAGTAACCAGCCCACCTGGAATTCTCACAGCACTCCTGATCACCCACTCTGGCATTGAGTAAGGCAATGGATGCAGGTTTTTTTCAGATGCACCGTCCGCATTAAGTGCTGGTTCGACGCTGTAGATTTCTTTAGATGCGATGGTCTCATCTGTTTATTTTTTCTTCCTTTTCCCGCATGCTCACTGTTGGGGCCTGTAAGCCAATCCTCCCTCCCTGTTTCACATCCAGTATGTTTCCAATTTGCACATTATTAGCCTGAATAGAATTGCCTAATGAAAAAAGATATAAATAATCCTAACTAATGGGAGAGGTTGCTTGGCTGTAGCAACTTAGACACCAGGGAGGAAAAATCCTGATTGGATAATTTTCTTTTGGGTGTTTCATGAATTTTAACTGTTTTGTTTTAACAAATAACAAACTTACTACAGTACTTGCAGAATTTAAGCACAACAGACCTGCTGATTATATTCACTAAAAATGAACAGTAATAAATAAAAACAAAAAAAATACAGACATGAATTTTTATTTCACAGCGATCATTAGGCCTTTTCTGACAGGCACAGAGGGCCCTGAGGGTTCCCCATTGTTATAAAGTTATGTTTAGGGAGACAATTAGTACACAAATTGCTTTTGTGACTATCACACAAAATCAGTAGGATCTCATGAATGCACAAACTTTATACTAAACTTTATATTAAACTTTATTACAAATCACATGTATATGAAGTTTGCTGTTAAAAATTATGTGTACATAAAATAAAAGTACACAAAAAAAAATTATTTAACTTGGTCTGGGCTGAACAGCTCAGCTTACAGGCTAACATACAATGAAGAATATGCCACTTTATTTTGAATTCTTTCAAAAACTCTTCATAGTTATTGCTCAGTTAAGCCCAACTTCATTGTCATTTAAAAAAAGATTACTCAAATAATCATCAAAATAATTGCTAGATTTCTTATTTACTAATATAATTGATAGTAACAGCCCTAAAATAGTGACCTGCAATAAAAAACATATTTGTATACTCACACTGTTGTTTAAATATATTGTAAATGATATATCTACAGTCGTATGCATATATATATATATATATATATATATATATATGTGTGTGTGTGTGTGTGTATATATATATATATGTACATGTATATATGTGTGTGTGTGTGTGTGTGTGTGTGTGGGACGCTGTGCAGAATGAATGTAAATAAAAATAGAATGTAATGATATACATCATGTAAGCCATATTTTTAAAGGAAAATACTACAAACGCAACTGAGAAATTTTATTCTTTTTTAAAAAATTTACACCCATTTTGAATTTGATGCCAACAACACATTCCAAAAAAGTTGGGACAGGGGCATGTTTACCACTGTGTTTCATCAGCTCTTCTTTTAACAACATTCTGTAAGCGTTTGGGAACAGAGGAGACCAGTTCCTGTAGTTACGAAAATGTTTTCCCAGTCTTGCTTAACATAGGATTTCAGCTGCTCAATAGTTCGGGGTGTCCTTTGTCATATTCTTCATTTCACAATGTTATCAGTGGGTGACAGGTCTGGACTGCAGGCAGGTCAGTTTAGCACCAGGACTCTTTTAATAATACTCTGTAATACATGCAGAATGTGGTTTGGCATTGTCTTCCTGAAATATGCAAGGCCTTCCCTGAAAAAGATGTCGTCTGGATGGCAGCATATGTTGCCAAAACCTATATCTGTTATTCAGCATTAATGGTGCCTTCACAGATGTGCATGTCACCCATGCCATGTGCACTAATGCACCCCGTACCTTCATGAAAACTGGCTTTTGAACTGTGCACTGATAACAAGCTGAGTGGTCTTTAGCCCAGAGGACACAGTGTCCATGATTTCCAAAAAGAATTTCAAATTTTGATTTGTCAGACCACAGGACACTTTTCCACATCCCCTCAGTCCATTTTAAATGAGCTCGGGCCCAGAGAAGATGGCAGCATTCCTGGATCCTGTTTATGGTTTCTTCTTTGCGTTTTAGAGTTTTAACTTGCATTTGTGGGAGCAGCAGTGAAGAGTGTTTTTAGAAGTGTTCTGGAGCTTATGCAGTGATTTCCTCTACAGAATAATGTCTGTTTTTCAGCCTTGTCCTTTGAATACAGAGATTTCTCCAGATTCTCTGAATCTTTTAATGGTATTATGTACTGTAGATGATGAAAAGCCAAATTTCTTTGCTATTTTATGCTGAGAAATGTTATTCTTTAATTGTTGCACTATTTAATCGTGCAGTGTTTCACAAAGTGGTGAATTCTGTTGTGGTGAAAGTTGCGCTGGTATGAGTGGATCAGACACAGCAGTGCTGCTGGAGTTTTTAAACACCTCAGTGTCACTGCTGGACTGAGAATAGTTCACCAACCAAATATATCCAGCCAATAGCTTCCTGTGGGCAGCGTCCTGTGACCACTGATGAAGGACTAGAGGATGACCAAAACAAACTGTGCAGCAGCAGATGAGCTATCGTCTCTGACTTTACATCTACAAGGTGGACTGACAAGGTAGGAGTGTCTAATTGAGTGGACAGAGAGTGGACACTGCTGTGTCTGATCCACTTGTACCAGCACAACACACACTAACACACCACCACCAAGTCAGTGTTACTGCAGTGCTGAGAATGATCCACCACCCAAATAGTACCTGCTCTGTGAGGGTCCATGGGGTCCTGACCACTGAAGAACAGGGTAAAAGGGGACTAACAAAGTATACAGAGAAACAGATGGACTACAGTCTGTAATTGTAGAACTACAAAGTGCACTTATATAGTAAATGGAGCTAATAAAATGGACAATGAGCATAGAAACAAGGAGGTGGTCATAATGTTATGTCTGATCTGTGTTTATATATCGCTGTTTTCAGAAGAAAACCTTGTATCTGCAAAATGGTAACTTTACAGGAGAAGGAAAAAACTACTTTACTTTTAATATAAGTCAATGGAACCAGAGTTTTTTCCAAGCAATTTTGGGATGTTTCTTTTGGTCCATTCTTCATGAAATTTAAACACAATGTAAAGAGTAACAGGCGTTTTCAAATTCTGTCAAAAACTGAAAACAAAATTCATCGATTCACAAATGTCAAAAATCAATGAACAAGAAATCCGACCGGCACCCTCTGCATTAAAGCTAGGTTAGGTCAGGAGTCGACAATCCAAATGTTAAGAAGAGCCATTTGTCCTTTCAACAAAAATCAAACCACCTTGGGAGGGACAACATTTTATGTCCAGTATGTCTCAACATGTGCTAATGTCCTAGTATAGGCTAAAAAACATGAATGAAAACAGACTTACTTTGCTCTGCTTTAAGCTTTAGCTATAGCCACTTTCCCCCCCATCTCTGCTAGGACACATTTCCACAAAAGTTGAATAATTTCTTGTTAAATGTCTCTCAACATTCAACTGTTTTACGAGGCTGAAGTCGCTTCTTATTCTCCAGCTTCTTGTTCGAATTTTCATGTTCCACCTTAAATACTGACTGAGGCACCGAATGTAAATGCGGCACCTTTAACATACCAGGAAGCCAATTGCAGTGCTTATAAATGCGAATAAGTCCATTTGTCTCCAGATGTTTGTCTTAAATCTGTCTCTTTGCCTTTTTGTTAGCTACTAGCTAGGCAGGAGTGCATTGCAAGGTGACCTGCAGTCTGCACGCCATTTCTCAGTCATTAAGAACCAGGGCTTTTGCACTATGTTGCACACGTCCCATCTCGAAGATATTTTACGGACACAGCAATCCCCACTCTCTACAACAAGACCAAAACCGAAGCTGTAAAGTCACTAAAGAAAACGGGTACGACGGCTGTAACATGTGCTGCATGGACATACTTTGCCACAGAATCTTATTTCACTGTAACTGCGCATTTTATCACAGATGAGTGGCAGCCTGTGTCTCATGTGCTCCAAACAAAAGCAGTGACTGAGGGCCTTATATATATATATATATATACATATATATATACATATAATCACACATCAATCTGATTTGATTCATCGATGAAATTTCATCAGGACGGTGATTGCTCAGGATTGCTGAGGGGTGAAAAATGTATAAGCATTACACGTTTTGCTGTCAAATTGTAAACGTAAAGCAATTCAAGGGCTCCATGAACCCACTGCCTGCGTAGTTATACATACATACATACATCATCTAAACCGCTTATCCTTCTGGGATGGGCGTGGGGTGCTGGAGCCTATCCCAGCTGTCATTGGGCGAAAGGTAGGATACACCCTGGACAGGTCGCCAGTCCATCGCAGGGCCTGCGTAGTTATGATGCACTAAAACACCAAAGAGTTCTGTACTGAAGGGCTTGTTTGTAATGTATTTGTAAGTTTAGCATTGTATAATTATTCACGTTAAAGTAAAGCGACTCAGGCCGGCAGGCAAAACTGGAGAATAACCGGCAGGTTTAGCGCAAGGTTCTCCCGAAAACAGCTGGTCTAAACGCAGACCTCACATGTGTTAAAGTGGGCGCAACGTCGCCACCTAGGCGTCGCTGATAGTACTGCGCGGGGATGCGCATTCCCCGCACTCAGAACGAGGCTGCCGTGCCGCTGGGAAGTCGCTCCGCATTCTGTTTCATTCATGCCGTAGACACACTTCACCTTTGGAAAGTCAGCGCGAAGCCTCGGACGAGTCAGGACGCCATCGAGAAAATGAACGCAAGTTTAAGGTTTTAAACATGGCCAGGAGAGCGAAACTGAGGACTGATATTTCACGTAAGTAACCTGCAGTCTTCTCACCAAGGCGATACCTTTGGCACCGTTTTTCTTTGTCAAAAAAGGATTTGTTTTGGAGATCTGTTTCACCTCCAGCTACATTCCTACTCCATCGATGGCTATCCCACCTTTGTTATCTTCTGCGAACCGTCATGTGGTCGCATCTACTTGCAGCAGTGGTACCTAGAAGAAGTGCCGTGTGTTTATGTGAGGTTGTGTGGCATCTTGCCGCCTCATTAACTGACGCATTGTGCCCACCGTGCTCTCGGCGCTGTTTAGCGAGAGCACTGGAAGGTGAACTAGGATAAGCTTATGACAAACTGGCTCATTGATCTTCCTGGTTAATTAGCAAAACTAAAACAAGCAACAAAATACGCGGCTGTGTGTGTATATAACGGGGCTATCTCTTATTCTTACTCATTCAGAAAGCTCGCTTTAGGCTTTGACTGAAATTCAAATCGAGAAATCTAAACTGTGTCGAAAACCGAGGGAAAAGTACTGTCATAGTAACTGTACCGTGTTCCATGATGTTGGTAAACAATCACACTGTTGCGGTATTTTTAGAAAACATTTGACTATAAGGAAGACGGAGGGGTGTTGGGTTTCACAGCTAACAGAACCAGCCTTCAACTGCGAAGTTTCTCTCTGCTGTACCCTGTTGAATATTTCACTCTTGTTTATACAGTGTGTGGGGGGTATGCCTGTCTACGCCATCTGTCTAAGCGCTGGTGAGCGGGGAAATCAAGAGAACTGAATGTAGGTTAAAGAGAGAGCTGGTCGAAGGACTTGGCGGGAGCAGCTTCTAGAGCCTGATATTTCTCACAGCGCCGTTTAGCTGAAGGAGTAGTAGCTGGATTATCCAGTGCCTTATTACTACATGCAGTTTTGTGCAGTTAGTGCATGGATGCCCTTTTTGTGTTTTTTACTTAGACCTATTGCAATAACTGTTAATTTCTGATGCCAAATTTATATGCCTTAGACATTTATTCAACTAAGAAATGGGTTTACCAAATTATTTTTTCTGCCGTTTGTGATTAATAACCTAGTGATTTATTTTATTTTACATGAGAGGCTATAATGTATCATTTTTTAAGTTATGATCCCCCACGTTAGTGAGAAGAAAACGTATACTTGTGGTCTGTCCCATTTTATTACTTAATTCTGCATATGTTTGGAACATAATATACAGTATTACATAATTTATCTCTGTTCAACCATGGGATATGTGCACCCTGGCTGTTGCCATGATTGACAGATATCTGAAATGTCCCTGACACCTGCACCTCCTTGCTCGCTGTGTAGGGCCTGAGGGTCATGGTGGACAGGGAGCCACTCACTCGTTGCTGCCTCATGCTTGTAAGCCCACCAAATAAGTACAAAAAATACAATAGTGTAAATTTGTATTACAATTTGCATATGTAGGAATGTATTCAAAGAAGAATAATGAGCACAATAAATGACTTATTTATTTATTTAAAACATTATTTTTTTCTTCACGCTGTACCTTTGGGGGTGAGGAGGCAAGCTTTATTTTCTTTTTAGTTCACTTGAAGGTCACTGGTAGAATGGACTGTTTGATTCAGTTTATCACAAGACAAAAACTATTTAATTTACGATCCAAATATATTACATCTTGTCTGTTTATTCCACTTCTTTGGAGACTTCAAACTGACATGTCTCTGAAGACGAACCAGGCCTGAAGTGTTTTCAAACTATCTGTATCAGATCTGAGGAAAAGACAGTGAAATTGTTTCTCTCTTCAGTTCTTCTGTGTCTATCACTCGCTCTCTCCCTCTCTCTCGGGTACGACTATGGCAGATGGTTGTACCATAGAGGATATAAAAAAAAAAAAATAAAACCCTTGTGAAATAACATGATTAAACAGCATAATATATTTAAGTACTGTGTGTTTAAGTGTATTTAAGCAGAAGACTATAGTTTTGTTTTAAAATGTTTAAACCTGTATTTACATCATCAGGCTACTATGCAGTTGTAGTGCTAAATGGGTAGTCTTCATTCTAGAATGATAAAGTAATTTCACAATTATTTTAGAGATTAGTTAGTACTGGGGTTTATAAAAGGTCAAATAATAAAAATGCACTTAACTGGACAACAGCCACAAACATGCATAGCTGACTACAAAATAGTTTATTGTTAAAATATAAATATTGTATAACCTTTTATAGTTTCTTATATTTTTAGGGCTATGTATGGGCTTTCTGGCATGAAAGGATCATATCCTCTTTCTGTGGTACTTTTAGGTCAGCTATGAGCTTAGGTGCTCAGCTCAGGTGATCACAAAATATTAAAAATGACCACTAATCTAACCTCACTCTGCCACTGCTGTCACAATTACTCATTATATACAATTCAAGTTAATTACTTAACTCCTTCTGGTCTCTCTTACACTAAAAGCAGCACAGTAAGAAACAAAGTATTTTGGAATCTTTAAAAAGGTATGCATGGTTTATTATTGTTTAAGTTTTTTTTTATTCAGTATTTTTATTGTTTTATTGTTAAATGGTTATGACTTGATTAATCATCAAAAAACCCTCTATGTTTGCAGTGTAATTAGCTGAATAAAATTAATTAGATTAAAAATAATTGTATTCAGTGTTTTTGACAGGATTAAGATGGCAATACAGGTTCTTGTTTGTCTGTTCCATCTTATTTATAACCTCAGAAAAACTAAATATTGTGATGTATTTTGCAGATCAATGAAATGTCTCAGAGTGTCATGATGTACAGATGCATCAGTATGGGAATTTTTGGCTGATGCCTATATCCAATATTGTCCACATACATATCTGTCCAAAAGCATTGTACAAAATGTTTAAATTGGGAATGGAATATCTGCAATCTGCATTACTGAGAAATAAGAAAAGCAGTTAAATGAATACAATGCAGAAATTTTACAAAAGTATACCAAGGTTGCCTGAAGATTCTGCTCTTCTACAGCACAGGAAAAAGAAAAAATTCATCATCAAATATCTGTTTGAAATATTTCCCACCACAAACTGTACAATCTGCACGTCTGTCTGAATGAAAGATGCTCCCTCAAAATGAGCTCAACACATTACCTCTAAATCCTTATCAAAACGGCATTTGATAATGAAGGGGGAAAACAGTTTTGGCTCAGTTGACTGGTTTAGTTTTACATCAAGCACAGTGTCTTAAGTAGTAAATGGTTTGGACCTCCCTGTTGAAAGGAGCTCCTACTGCCTTCTCCTCTCCCTTTTTCCAGGACACCGCATCATCCCTTTGCCCTTATCACTGCTGTGATCCAATCAATGCTATCTACCATCGGCCTGCAGAGCAGCTCTTTACTACAGTGCTTTATGGAGTTTTCTATGGCCTTTACAACTGATCCAGGATAGCTTTGTCATGCTCCTCAAAACATTGTATGTGTTAGGAAAGGGGTATGCATACACCAACCAAAGCATTTTTTGAATGTTGTTAGCTGTTTTTGTGATGTTCTGTTACATAGTGGATGATATTGCAAATAAATATAACATCAGTGTTCATAAATATTCTCACAGTATATATCAAAATACATTTTTCTGATGTTCCCGCACAAGTTGGAAGTATACATTTTTATTAACTCCACCTGTGAGAAATAAAATGTTTAAGACAGTTAAACAATTGGTAGAAAGAAATGAATAAGATAATTGTTTCTACACAGTTTATGCAGTTACTATACTCTGGTTTGTGGTGCTGTTTCAGGAGCTATAATAATCGATCTGTTGTTAAGAAAGTCAATGAAAAGTAAAACCAAATGCACATGCTTTTTTCCAAGGCTAATATTATTTCATATCTTAAATTCATTTGGAAGAGTGTTTATTTAGAGTGCCCAGCTTAGACTGGGAAAGGAGGCTTTGCTTTAGGCACTGAAAATGTGTCTAACAAGAACATCCACACAGATGTGTGTGTGTGTGTGTGTGTGTGTGTGTGTGTATCAACATACAAGTTTCTGTGCTTTTCTCTCATTGTTTCCTTTATCACTGTCTGTACAGGTATATTTTTATTTTTTATTTGTTTAACCAGTTTGTGACTGTTGCTAACTGTCAGCTGTTCTTAATTGTCGTTTTTTAACTTAATAGTTTGTTTCCCAAGCAGTGTCATCAATCAATCTTTATTTAAACTTGGACTACATTGAGAGAGACCCTCATTTACAGTGTAGCCAAGCAATACAGAAATTAGGGATTGAGATGTTGGATAGTAAAAATAAATCAAATGTTATAATAAAAAAAAGAAAAATTATTTTAGTAAAATTTAATAATAAGAAGGTACCAATAAACCGTTAAATTAATAAACTATTAAAATTACAATATAGTAACTTAACAAGTAACAGATCAGACAAGGATAAAATAAATAAAACCATGAAATAAGAGAAATAGATGATGTAAGACAATAAATTGTCAAAATAAATAAAAAGAATAAAAGAAGTAGTATAATAGTGTGAACTCAAGAATAAACTATTTCCTGTGTAGTTCATTTTATTTGTTTGACTTTGCTGCTCAGAAGTTGAAGCACTCCTTCAGGCAGCTGTGCTGTATATACTGAGCGTAGTGTAAATAATGCAAGAGCTCTACACTGGGCTTGTAAGTAAGCCTAACAGTGAAGGGGGTCTGAGAAAAACGCTTTCCCTGAGGGTAATGAGAATGTGGACTTGACAAACTCTGTGAGGCTCTTCAAGAGTTGCAAAAATGATCAAATAACCGTACTGTAGTTTAATAGTGATCAGATGATGCGAATGTTTGAGAGCATGGAGACAGGTAGCATATGGGCTTTGTAGTCATCATTGCCATGAGTGGGTGCAATGCATTTCCCTCATTCAGCATTGAGGGGTATTATAAGTAGTTGGACTCAGGATGCTAGTGTTCAGTAACCTCTTAATTAATACCTCATTAAAAGACCTGAATGAGGGTATCGATCTCTGGGTTGAAGGCGGCATTCCCGCACAGTGTTACTCACTGAGAGAATTGCTTTTTATTATCCCT